GTCGGGCTGTACAGCCAGCATTGCTCACGGTAGATTATGGCCCTTCCCTTATTGTACAGCATCAGTGGGCGTGATCTTTTCAAAAAAAAATTAATTATGAACTAAAAGAATCAAAGCATTATAAATGCACAGTGTCAGGTTTTTGTACTGCCCGTTTCCGTTCTTGTACTTTTACTTTGGCGTTGTTTCCCGTTTCTGTTTTTGGCCTCTGTGTGGGTCCTTTTACTTAATCTGCATCTCATTCTTTGCACCTGTTTTCTCTCTATTTAGGCAGCTGACCCCCACCTGGCAACTGCCAGATTGTTCTTGACCTATGCTCAGACTTCCCAGCTTTCTTTATCATTGCTGTTTTGACTACGGCCTGCCTGTGACCACCAAAGTTTGCCTAACCCCCTCTGTTTTGGACTGCTTACCTGGAATTTGGCTATCGGACTGTGTTCCTGGCCTAAGTGTGTTTTGGATATTTCGTTTTTGTAGTATCAGTGTATGACCACAAATAAAGACTGTTTTCCCTTTCCTCTCATCTGGTGTTGTAATAGAGTCCACCAATTAATCTGGCTGGTAGGTGTAGTGGGCACACCTGACAGCACAGTTGCTCTGTGAAGACATCTGGCTTGAAACCACACAGATAAAAAGTAGTGGGCCATAAATATGCATGTGACTGACTTAGCAGGTATCTTCTGACTGCAGACCACAAGGGAGGATATAAAAATGCTTATATGACTGAGTTTGTAGCAACATCTACAACATATATTTGTCAGCACAGAGGAGTGGATGCTGTAGCTCCTGTGCCACCACATATAAAAATGTGGCCTGGTTCTGTGATGCTTTAGCGTATATATAGGGTACATTTGATGTTTTCAGCAGTAGAGCACTGAGAGACCAGACCAGCCAGTAGAGTGATAGTGGAAATATGGTGCAACACATTAAAAAACCCACATCAGGCAGTTGTACTGTCACTGCACCAGCTTGTTCAGCTACTTTACTGCAACCCAAAGCCTTGACATTCATCATCATTCATGTTTACTTACTGTCCTATTTAAAGAGTATTGACATTACATTAACAGATGATAATAAAATGACCTCTTACATGGAAACAAAGCACAAATCAAACATATTCAGTTCTGTTGCCTTATAGTTGAGTACAAACAATGATTCGGAGCGTCATCCCTCTGCCTTCTTACTCGGCTGAAGTTTTGTTCCCTTAGAGCAGCATAATGGAGGTCGTCTGTATCTTGATAAACCTGGTACAGAAATATATAAGTAAAAATCTAAATATATCAGTGAATCAGAATATTTGATATAAAATATATAAGTAAAAATCCACACAACGTGTAAATATTCAATAATACACATGGATGGTAAATATTCACCTCTGCATTTGCTGTGGAGGGAGCTGAAAAACCCTCATGAGACCCTGGTGAGAAACATAGAAAAAGGTGATTTTGCTCTATTTACAAGCCTTGTTCAGTGAATACAACCTGTAAAACACATACAGTACCACTCACCTGTACATTGGCAGTTGTTTCTTTTGATTTCCTTGTAAAATGAGAGAGCCAACAAAACTATCATGACGGTGGTGAATATCAAAGCTCCACTCAAGAAATACACAAGAGAGTTGGAAGAGTTGCCTTCATCTGCAGAGTCATACATCAGAAGACAATACACATATTTTAGCTATTATCTTTATATGTGAAATTTGATGAGAAGGTAATTATAATTATTGCTGATGCTAACATTTTATAGTACTTACCTTCTACATCCAGTTTGGTCCCGTTTCCAAACAATATGTGTCCACAGGAGGCAACAGCACAGTAGTAGGTCCCAGCATGAGAAAGATTCAAGCTGTTCATCAGCAGGTTGTAGACACAGGAGTGTGTTTGTGTCTCAGGTTTCCTCTCACACTGATCACTGCTGCCTCCATGGGTGTAAATGAGTCCTGGATGAGACTGTTCAGAGTCTTTGAACCAGTAAACCCTGTATTCTCCATCACAGGTCCCATTGTGGACTGTACAGTTCAGAGTCACAGAGCCTCCTGGCTGGATGGTCTCAGATGCCGACTGATGGACCACAGCTTGGACGTTCACACTTGAACCTACACTGACAGTAGTGCCCTCAGCAAACTCAAACTTGTTTAAATAGCTAGTTGTGCAGTAATAAGTAGCTGAGTCTGAAATCTGTAAATTCAAAATTGTCAAGTGATTTTTTCCATTATTTGTTTCAAGTGAGAACCGTGGATTGTCCTTGAATTCAGCATAAAAAATGCCACTTGTATCATGCTTATAGAAGGAGGAGAGAAGCCTTGGTTTCTGTTGCAGAGTTTGTTTGTACCAGTAAAACATTGCTGCAACATCACCTTCATAGAAACATCGCAAAGTCACATTGTCTCCAACATTAGCTGATATAAAACCACCATCCTGATGCACAGATGAAGACAATTTATTATTAGTTGCCAGTTCTGAAGAGAAAGGAGACAACAAGATACCATGATATATTTATCAAAATGACTGAAAAAACAGTTAGAAATTCTTTCAACAATGGATAAACATTTAGGGATGTAAATATATCCACCAAATGCCCAACTTACCTATTCTCCACAGTAACGCACAAGTCAGGTATAAGGCAAACTTCAGACATGCCATCATGATCAAAATGTCTTGATGAGTGTAGAGAGACTGCATACGCTCTCTGCTCTTCAAGTGGGGATCTTATTTGATTGGCTAACAAGCAGTGACTGAATTTCCTATTTTAGAAACACTGAACACATGTTCAGTGTCCCCCACCCCCTATGGTCAATACTGGTACACGAGTCAAGACACATGGACGGTGTTATCAGAACCACAGTGCAACTCATAAGCCTGATGTGTAAAACCACTAAAAACAGGACTAACTTGTTGATAAATGCAGTGGAGTCTAATTATGCTCAATTAGAGTTCTTTAGCTCACACTTCCACTGGCCAACATCTTCAGCAGTAACAGAGTGGGTGTTCGGAGAGGGCTTTCAAAACCAAACAGTTATGGAGACAAATATGCAAGATGTAGAACCACACTTTTACTGGCATATAAGAGTAGAATTGATTGTAAAAATGGAAATAATTGGATCTGGGTTTAGTAAATGTTAAAGAAATGAAACTTTACTGGTTGTATTTATATTAAAACATCCTAGTCAGGGGCAGGCTAAAGGTGTTGTCAGGGTGAACTGAGAAACTAAATAGTTTGAGAGAAAGTTTCCATTTTTCAGCCACTTCAGACAATATGGACTACATAGTGCAACACTTTACGGATATTTTCAGAGGGTTTGGTACACTGCCATTTACATACGAAATCCAGCTCAAAAAACCAGTCATGCATGCTCCATGCAGGGTTCCAGCACCACTGCGTGATGCACTAAAGATGGAGCTTGAGAGAATGACTAAGCTGGG